TGAAGTACGATGTGTTACGGAATATAGAGAGTGCAGCATCTTATTAAAAATAGTTTTCATAATACAAAGGCGAGGCTTAATAAATTTTCAGTAGGTGACTTTGTTTTGATTTGAACGAGGAACGTAAACAAACAAAATTAGATCCAAAATTCAAAGGACCGTTTGAGGTCATGGAGGTTCTCGACGGTGATTGTTATAACCTAAAAGCCCTTAACTCTAACCGTATTTACAAATAACGGTAGTACGTATTTACAAGTACACGATAGGTTGAAAAGTGCCGGAAAATCTAAATGTACCTGACGAAATTGAAGTTGAGCAAATTAGTTCTGATATTGAAGAGAGTATTTAAGTTTGCATGATGATCGGACCGTACCAGACGTTGTCGTGTAGCCGTAGCTCAGTAGAAATCGGCGTCTATTAACTTAGTAGTCCGTGAGTACGCGGTAAGCAGTCAACTCTGGCGGAGGTCGGGTTACAAGAATAAAATAAGAAACAGGATTATTCAATTCCACATTGAGAAATCGGGAGGAATGAATAAAACCCTAAAAGATTTGAAAGAGAACATATCATGGATCCCATGCATAAAAAAGTACGTAGTTAAAAACAGAGTTAAAAATGTATGTACCCAGCACAGAACGACATCTTGAATATCACAATTTTTTCTATATATTACTCGAAATTATTTACGTAAAAAGATAAATCATACTCACACAAAAACTTTTATAACAATTTTGTAATAAAACACTATACTAAACACTAATAAAACACTAGACTAATAAATCCAAAAATCAACACACAATCTATGTATCATATATCTATATATCTATGCCTATTTCGTGTATGCCACACGAAATAGGCATACGAAATTAACGTAGATTATTAATAAAAAACCATAAACTAACTACTTTTTATTGCATTAGAGGATAGGAAATTTTACATTGAGCATATAATGCCAAACTTCTTCATAGAAAAGTAGTCTGTAAATATAAGTTTTTATGGGTTAAAGTGCTGTGGGTGGGTGCGGTCTCATGAGACCGCTAGGGATTTGACGAAATATGGCCACGGTCGTATGCAATCGCTTGGGGTTTGAGAGATTAAAGAAAAAAATTTAATAATTATTAAAAATTGTACAATATAATAATAGTTACAATAGTACAATATAATACAAAATAACGAGGTTATACCTAGATATTTTAGCTTTGTGTCTGTAATGTTAAAATTGGCATAAAAGACTGCGGTCTGTTATAAATAAATAAATTAATAAATACATTTTCAGTTAGCACAATAATGTTTTATCAATCGGAAACAATAATATAAGACTTTTATGAAAAAAGGAATGAAAAGGAAAGAGAATCGAATTAAAACAACAAATTTACTCCTAAGAAAAAATGTTTACACTAAATAAACAGTTTCAAAAAATCTTTTCTAATTAACAATTATTTACAAAGTCTAATTTTTCTCAGAGTTTTTTTTTCTTTGAAATGAATTAGTTCATTAAATTTTAGCCTCCTAATTTCTAATTGTTAGAAATAACTAATCTTTATATATAATTCTTCCGTCCGTATGTATATAACTGAACTCCTCCTAAAAAGCTAAACCGAATTTTATGAATTTTTTGTGAGATTAAGTTGATTCGAGAATGGTTTAGATTGGATGCGGTAGGTGTCGCTGTTGTCAAGATCCAGAAATCATGCGTGAGAAACCTAGTAACTACCTCTTGCTTCAACACTGGCGTTATGTTATTATAGTCTATAATTGAACAATCATACGAGCTTACCTGTAAGCGAAGTTCGATTGGAATTATACCTTGTTGTCTCTCCGAAGACGATGGAAATAATACTATATGTTAGTATCGCTTCTTATCTCATCCTCTAGTTGCACCTCATTCGCGCCTCAATCTGTCAACTCATTTTAGTTTAAAGCATAAGTCTGATTCTATTTGGGACTGAGCCTGGTCTCATAGGGGATGGGTGGGTTTCATCGTCTTCGGAGAGACAACAAGGTATAATCTCAATCGAACTTCGCTTACAGGTAAGCTCGTTTGATTGTTCAATTATAGCCTTGTTGTCTCTCCTCGATGATGGAAATAATACTATATGTTAGATGTTCAAAGTCTCAGAACAGAATCAGACTTTAATTATAATTAAATTGTAACAATAAGGGTTAAGAAGTTTTCTTATTAATAATTATTATTATTACAATTAGTCATCAATATTAATATTTCTAAAAACAGCATTAGCATAAATTGTGTCCTTATTGTCCAAAATAGGACGATTATAGAATCTAGCAAAACAAATTGAATTTTCAGTCCAACAGCTGATTTTCTAATAATATCTATTGATACACCCTTATGGAATGCTGCTGAAGTAGAAGCATGCCTTGTGCTATGAGCAGAAAAAATGTTCACATCTATACTACTTTCTTTTAAAATGTCTTTTATCCATCTGCTGATTGTACTTACTGATACCCCTCTATAGGGTTTCTTAAATGAAATAAATAATTTTTTTATGTTGCCTCTTATTGTTCAGTTAACTTCAAATAATTAATCAATGCTCTAGCGGGACAAACAGTAGGTTTTAAATCAAAAAAGGTAATACAAGCAATGGCTGCTGTCTGTAGGAGCCTGATGTCTTTAACAATTTGGAGATTGTAATACAAATTTTGTCACTCTCTATTTTTATTTTGTCAATTTCCACTGATGCTAAGGTTTGTGCTCTTTGTCCTGTTGCTAGAGCAAACAGCATTGCTGTTTTCTTTGCTTGGAATTTTACATCCTTTGTATCCATCTGATGAAGCTCAAGGTAATTGAACACTTCTGATAGATTCCAAGTGAATTGATATTTGGGATTATTTGGTCTCAACCTATAGAACCCTTTAAATAATCTCTTTATTTGATCATTTATTCCAATATGAGAACCTATCAATAACGACAAGGCTGATCTTATGGAGTTCAGGCTTCCATAAGACATCATCATCATCATCATCATCATTACAGCCCTTCACAAGTCCACTGCTGAACATAGGCCTCCCCCTAGTAACGCCACAAAGCACGGTCCTAAGCCACCTGCATCCACCGACTTCCTGCATGTCTTACCAGGTCGTCACTCCATCTAGTGGGAGGTCGCCCTACACTACACCTACCGGTATAAGACTGCCACTCGAGAACCTTTCTTCCCCGTCGGTTATCGGTTCTTCGAGCTATATGGCCGGCCCATTGCCACTTCAGCTTACAAATCCGTTGGGCTATGTCAGTCACTCTAGTTTCACTGCGGATATCCTCATTTCTGAGTCTATTACGCAGAGAAAATCAGAGCATAGCCCTCTCCATAGCTCGCTGAGCGACCTTGAGCGTCCTCATAGGGCCAGCAGTGAAGGACCACGTCTCTTATCCGTAAGTTATCACTGGCAACACGCACTGGTTGTACACTTTAGTTTTCAGAGATTGAAGTATACCTGACGAGAAGATGTGTCGTAATTTCCCGAACGCTACCCAGCCGAGTTGAATCCGTCGATTGACCTATCGGTCGAAGTTGGACTTACCTAGTCAGACTATTTGTGAAAATCAGCAGGGACATTATCTTTAGTGTTAATATATGATGCAAAAATCCAGAGGTTACTATCTTCACACCATTGCCAAATTTGCCTAGCAATATCATACAAGTGGGGGTATTGTATACCACCTAGCCTGTTTATATAAGCTATTGCAGTAGTATTATCTATTCGTAACAATATTTAAATATTTTTTAGATTCTTTGTGAAACTCTTTAGCCCGAAGAAAGCAGCTTTTAATTCTAAAGTATTGATATGTAATTTTGATTCTTGTTCTGTCCTGGGCCCACTAGTTGTCTGTCCAGCACATGAGGCACCCCAACCCGTGTTGGGAGCAACAGTGTGTATTTCTAAAACAAAATTACTCTTTCTTATTGGGCTTGTAGAATATTTAACTTTTTCAGCCCACCATTTCAAATCCTGTTTGCAATGGTTAGGTAGTGAAATTTGTGCCTCATAGTTATTATTATATTTTAAAAGTGATAAGTATTTATGACGCTCAAGCAGTTTTGTATATAACATACCATATTTAATTGCTGGACAAACAGATACTAGTGTTCCTAATACCTGAGCTAAAAATCTTATAGAAAATAATGGTTTCTGTATGTATTCTGTACCTACTTAATTTTTTGATCAAGCGAAGGCAATTTTCTCTTTTTTCTCTTGTTATAGAAATAGACATGTTTTCTGTATTGAAAACTAGTCCTAAGAATTTGCACTGGTGTGAGGGGGTGAGATTACACTTATTAATATTGACTATAAATCCTAAATTAGTAAATAATTTTAGAGTTAACTGTATCTTTTCAACACATTCATTGTAATTACTACAAATAAGTATATAGTCATCTAAATATTGAACCAGGCGTAACACATCTTCTCTTAACCCGAATTTTAACAACAAACTCTATCAGTTTAATGTACTCCATTAAACTGATAGAGTTTGTTGTTAAAATAAAAACGTAGGTATTTCCTATGATCTAACTTAATACTTATCATGTAATATGCATCCTTAATATCAATTGTTGCCAAATAATCTTTGTTAATGAATTTTAATACTGTACGATAATCCTCTAATTTGAAATGATCCATTTTAACAAATTTATTGAGTTCCTTTAGATTTAAAATAAATCTAAAGTCCCCATTTGGTTTTCTAACTAAAAATATTGGTGAACAAAATTGGTCATGCACTGGTTCACAAGTCTCTATAGCCTGTATAGACAACAACTTATTAATTTCTATTTTTAATTGACTTAACTCAGTTAATGAAAAATTATTATTTAAGGAAAAATTAATTTGTGTAGGTATGTGTTCAAATGGAATTGAATATCCCCTAACCCAATTGAGTATGACAGGTTCATTAGTCAATCTTTGCCAATTATTTATATAATATTGTAGTCTTCCTACCTGTGGTGTAGGAACCTCTAATATCGTCGAGGAGGCAGTGGTTTCTGTTATTGTTGCTGCTGCTTGTTTTTGGGCTTGGTTATTCTCTTCCCTCCCATCCTGGTGCTCAACTGAGGAGGGCCCCGCCAGTTTAAAGTCTTTGTTGGCCCCTTAAGTCGCTCTTGTTTTTCTTTCAGATCTTTTCCAGATCTCTGTATAATTTTTGCATTCTTTATTCTTTCTGCTAAGTTTGTTCCGAATAAGAACATATCTGAGTCACCCTTTAGAGTCTCTTTAAGGTTGTGATTTACTGCATTAGTAATTAAAATTTTTCTATTGTTGGTCTCAGATTGAAAATAATCACATAATAGTTTGGATGCATCATTTATGTTACGGATTATTTCTATTTTGTCTCCGTTCTTTAATATGGACTCTAAACCAGAGCCAATAGCAGTCAATACTGCAGAAATTTGCTTTTGGTTTTCTTTAATAATTCTATCCCTTTTTAGCATAGATGCTGAAATTGCTGAGACACATTCAGGATTCAAAGTTGGTGCTATTAATCTTGGCACATTTTCGAATGGCATATATTTTTGCATAAGCTCTCTCTTATCTTCCTTTTTTAGGCCTTTGCTCAGAATGGGTGTCTATCTGTTTCCAATTTCAGGGTGAAGAGGTGGACCTTTTTCCTGTTCTATCTTTATTTCACCCAGAACTGCTAATGCCTCAGCATTCAAATCCTGTACCTCTGGAACTTTATCAGGCTGATTCCCTGATTCGCTAGTAGAGGCCTGGCCATTTAGATTTCCCAGAATCTGCAATTCCGATTGAGGTGATTCAGATTCCTCAGGTTTTTCTTTTTCTATTAAGATATCATTTTCCATCTCTTCTGGCCAAGATACCTATGAATTGGATTCAGATGTCACTGTTAAGAAACAGAACACAAATTACCTTAATATTTATACATTCTTTATGAAAATTTAGGGGCCATGTCTATTATTAAACTTTATGACCTGATATTGACTTTAGGGTGACCAACCTGATATTGACTTTAGGGTGACCATGGGTTCTAGGCTCTGCAACCGTAGCAACCAATGGCATAATGTAAAATCTTTTTGTTTTTGTAGATCTAGGCTCTACAGCCGTAGCAACTACAATAGCTTGGTCCAATAAGATTATATATGGTCCTATGCTCTACTACTAGCTACCAATGAATTACACACTTAAAAATTAATTTGCTTACTTCTTATAATGCAACCTGTTAGACCAACTCAAATATATATTCTATAGAAAGGTTCCTATTTATTATTACATTACTTCAAATAATTCTATTTTATATGAGATGAGGTATAATATTGTTCAATGTATTAAACGGACTTCCTGCGTGGAGAGGTGAAAATACAATAAACAATAAAACAAAATGGCGTTGTAATGCGTTACGCGTCTTAACGGAGAACAGGTAGTGACAAGTTAGTATTTCGTCTCGGCTGATTTTGGGTAGGAAACTAAGTTAATAATAATGATTGTATGTCTAGGTATTATTTGATAATGCTACGGGTTAATACAGTTTTATATATGCAATAATAAGCTATAGATATTTACGGCCCTACTGTTTTGAAAGTTTTTTAACTTTTTTCATAAGTTTTCTTATTTTCTTTTTTATCTTGTCGTCACTTCTATCTTTGTCACGTTTTCTTTTCATTTTAATAAGGAATTAAAGGAAAATACCCCAACTAAAAAACTTAATTCGCTGCTGAATGTATTAATACGTAGTAACGCCGTCCGACATAAAAACCGAATGAGTTGACAGATTGAGGCGCGAATGAGGTGCAACTAGAGGATGCGTTCAGAAATTTTAAAGTTACTTTTAACTTATGTAACGCCACCGAGATAAGAAGCGATACTAACACATAGTATTATTTCCATCGTCGAGGAGAGATAACAAGGCTATAATGATTATTTATTTAAGCGTAGTTAGTACTCAAACGATCAAAATTGTCGCTCGCACTCGCAAAATTCTTGAAACGACCAACCACGCGCGTTAACGTTCTCACTGTCGATTGAGAGTTAATGTTCAATGTTCGATATCGACGAATTATTAAACTTGCACTCATGAATTGTGTTTCTGATTATTGTCACTAGTTGGCGCTTTTTATATTCCATATCCATACAAATCGTAGTTAACACTCTCGGGATCGAACACGTAAAAAATCTCGCACTAGGCACGCTGATAAGAGATGGCATTTACCTAGAGTTCTACCGTCTATTGTAATTTACTTAATTTATCGACATCTGTTATTTCTCACCACCCTATTCTCCACGAAAGTTTCAAATCTGGGTGAACTGTTTATAAATGTTAAACTTTATACCGTTTTGTATTTTTTAACAATGTTCAAACAAGTGCTACTACTAGTTGCGCTACTACAGTGGATATATTCTAGCTGATAGTGGTGATACATTCCTGGTATGAAGACACCCACATTTTAATCGAATGGAAAAATAGATGCTGGCAAATTGTACCACTCCTTCACTGTATGCATTATGAATGGCGAAACAAACTGTTCTGTTCGAATCCATGGTATGTCGATAATAAAATTGTGGAGGCCAGAAGAGCTGAGCTACAAGAGAACAAGTAGGCCGACGATGGAAAGATTTTTCACCTAAAAAGGAAATCTATTCGTACTGACTTAGAAATGTATGCGGAAAAGAACAGAAAGCCTTAGTAGTGGCACCAATAATTTACTTTTACACGCATTTTTTCCATTGAGTCCAAAAAATAATAATAATCAAACGAACAAAGTATTAATTATTTTTAAATTTCCTGCATGGGCTTTGGATTTCGTATCTGTAATTGCAGGCGCTGTATTTTGCACCACCGGCCTATATGATATGGTGGCAATACTCCATGCACGCCCGACAAACTTTCAAATTTTAATACATATTGTAAATAATTTAAATATTATTAATAAAAATAAAGTAGTGGTTTATTTATTTAAAGAAAAAAAATTCTAAATAGATTTTTAAAATAAATGTAATTTAAGTAATTGAACTTGCGGAATTCCTCTGCATGCATAGTCAATACTTGGTCCTTGAAAGCTGATCGACTGTACGTAAAGATTGCAAATAAAACGCGACAATTACTTTAAACATCGCACTACTGGTAAAGTTACACGAGAATAACAATTACTTTCGTGATTGAATTTCAACGCATTCACATTTTATATGTGAGTATAAAACCAATGTATGTTTTCGTTAAAGGAAATGCAATAAAGTTTTTTACAAAATTAAAAATGTATAGAGATAAAACACTGCACGAACTACTTGAATGAGATGAAAAGTGTGGTGAACACACTGAAAAACAGCGGTTGTGGTTCGCCACGCCAAATGCTGAGTACTCGTACTGCCAATTTTCGTCATGTTCGGCAACTTCTTAAAGTTAAAGTTACAGCCTATATAGGCTGTAACTTTAACTTTTGAAGAATGTTAAACGTATGTACGTTCCAGACTACTTAGACTTAGAAATGAGGATATTCGCAGTAAAAAGAGTGACGACATAGCCCGAAACCGATAACCGATGGGGAAGAAAGGTTCTCGAGTGGCAGCCTCGTACCGGTAGGCGTAGTGTAGGGCGCCCCCCACTAGATGGAGAGACGACCTGGTAAGACATGCAGGAAGTCGATGGATGCAGGTGGCTCAGGACCGTGCTTTGTGGTATTACTTGGGGGAGGCCTATGTTCAGCAGTGGACTTGTGAAGGGCTGTAATGATGATGATGGTATTATATATATATATATATATATATGAAAACATTGAAATTAAATTAAGTAGAGAAAATAAAATTATTAAATTACGAATTTTATGTAATTATTAGTAAATAGAAATTCTATGATACTATAATATCATTTATGTACAAGAAATTTACTTAAAATAGATTTAAATTTTTGCACATTATAACATTTTATGTGTTCAGGCAATTTATTTTATAATTTAGAGGCCATTAGTTTTTCATAAGGGCGGTTTTAAAGGATTTTTTAATCGCAAAATTTACAAAGAATCTTATATTTGGAGCATACGAAACTTGAAACATAAAAAAGCAAATGTTATTGAAATATTTCAAAAATATACTCAAGTATTACCGGTGATTACCGGTTACCGGTAAATCACTAAACAACACTATATCCCTAGCTGTGATACCATTATACACACAGGCTGTAAAGGATCTCCGATTCTCTACACTCACCACTTACTAAACAGTGGTAGTGTAGTATTTAGCTGCTATTTTATGCTGGCTGTAAAGCCGACCGGTTTAGTTATAGTTTAAGAATGACTTTTATTTGAAGATTAAATAATAGTAAACATTGGTAAGTTAACTTTTTTTCATTTCATTATTTATTTAGAATCTATAACTACCTATATATAATATATTTGTAGGAAAGTCGTATCTATAATCTTAATATTTTTTGGAATAACCAGTCCAGGGTACTAAATAAAAAATACTGAAGCTAAATTAGTGGTTTTCAGAGTGGCTTTTTGTTCGTGCAACCGTATTCTATTTGAAAATATTTTCATATGATACAATCCATATGCCATGTTCCTTGGTTTATTTCAAATAAAAATAACCTCTTTAATAAGGATCTACGAAAATTACTAAAACTGTAAACACCACAAATAGAAGTAAAACATAAGTACAAACACTTCGCCACCATCCCTCTTTTATTGGTTTAAAAAAATTATAATTAGTCCAGTTGTCCAACTCATAGAATACTTTTAATAATGGTAGTTTTTAACGATCCTCTTTGTTACAAATTTATAAGGGTATAACGTAGAATTCTCACTACGCAAAGAATTTTTCACTATAAACAGCTATGTACATTAAATTAAATCTAAGAAGATATATAAATAAATCATAAGATGCTGACAGTTGAGGAAGTAGGACAAGAAAAACTACTTCCAATAAGATGGGGAATATTAAAGGTTCAAAGTTACAATCCGGTTGCGCGGAAAACGAATATCCGCATTTTGTTCAGTTAGTTAAAAATTAGCCGGTACAGTCTGCCATCACATCCGTTCCCCACAGCCCTGTAATGGGGGGGGGAGGCTTAGATCAGTGGCGTAATTTTTTCGCCAAATGGGAGACGCGTAATGTTGCGATGGAGTTGGGGATGGCAGAGGAACAAAACGACGAGCGCCTCCGCCGCTTGTCCAGTTACAACGCAGTGCCACCCACCTCGAAGCCTGAGTAAGAGGCCACCAGCAAACCAACCCCGGTAAGTGCCTGTTCCTATATATATTGAGCAGTTTCTTTGTTTTTTTTTTGTTGTTCTTTCCCTGGCAGCTCATGTTTTCCATCGTACCAGCTAAATACAGTGAATTAAGTTATAGCAAGTATATTATCCAATCCACTTTCGTCATTCGGGCACCAAAATCTCGGAGCCATTATTCCCGGAATCGCACCCGGGACCCTGTGGCCCAACCATTTTGGGGTTCTTTCGCTCCGGATTTGAAGGGGCAACCTAGTCGCCCCACCATTTTGTGGTCATAAGTTCCGGATTTGAACTCAGAAACCATTGGCTCCACCATAATCTTTAAGTAGATTTATGGAGGTTAAAGGGATTGAACATAGATATTGATATTTTTATGAAGGAGTATAAATTTACTAGAGTGGGAAGTGAAAGACTGTTAGAGCAGGTTCACTATCAGAAAGGCTTAAGTCTAATATAAAATCTGCGGCCAATATTTTTCCGAAATATTAGAAATTTCGGTCTCTCTTGATCTCTCCATCTCATTATAAGCATGGGTTATGAAAAAATCATGAATATGTTTTATTTATGTGTATGTGCTATTTTAATATATTAATTGAAACATTATGAAATTTTATTTGTTTT